AAGAGTGGTTCTTGCAGGTGGGCAACAGACATTTGGGACCTTTTTAAATCTTTTTCTTTTTTTTTTTTTTTTTAAGAGAGAGGGAGAAAGAGAGAATTTTAATATTTATTTTTTAGTATTTGGTGGACCCAACATCTTTGTTGGTATGTGGTGCTGAGGATGGAACCCGGGCCGCACGCATGCCAGGCAATCGCGCTACCGCTTGAGCCACATCCCCAGCCCCGCCTTTTTAAATCTTATAGTTAATAGTAATTTATCCACTTTTTAGAGGGGCACTGTGTATGAAACCAGGTTCTTCCATTAAAGCCAAACCCCTTCCTTAGAAGTATTTGGCTCTCTCAGGTAGGGCTGCTTAATGGACGTTTCTCCTCTGGTGGAAATGGTCTCCATCCCTGCTGGCTCTCTAGTAGCCCTAGCCACACGTGGCTGCATCTGTGGAACTGAGTTTTTTACGTGATTTTAGATAGGCGCATGTAGCTAGTGACTGGTGAGTGGGACTGATGCTTGGGCAACATCAGTGTGATTCAGAGTTTGCATATCATCCTTTAAAGTGAAGTTCCGCCTCAGTCTTGGTTCAATTTCTTGTTGTTGAATTCAGTGTCCCTCTTCCATCCGATTTTACAGCATGTTTGCTTTGCTCTTGGTTTATTTAACTGGTGCATTGGCCTAGTGGTGAGATTGTTACTTATGTGCATGGGCACACAGTGTAGCAGTGGGATCTGGTCAGACTCACTCCCCCACTGGCCTCTTGGTTTGATCTTAATCTGGGACACAGAGGTAGGTGGAGCCCCCGTGCCCAGACTTGAGTGCCAGGAAGCAACTTTTAAGGAGTGATTTCCTCTCAGCTTTAGATGGTAGGGAGTGTGGCGCAGACAGTGTGTCTCAGGTAAACCAGAGAGGGGTGAGCGAGGCGGGTGGGCTCTGGTCTTGTCTGTCTGCCTGGGGTGGACCGGGAGCCAGCAGGCAGCTGGGCTGAGGGAGGTGTGGGTGGCAGCTGCCGCTTGTCCTCCACCCACACCTCTCGCTGTGCTTCAGCTGGAGGGACTGGCCAGGCTCTTGCCAGAAGGTGCTGTTCCTTGAGAGGCAGGGACTCTCTTTTAGGGACAGCTGGGTCCAGGCAGTGGAACTGTAAGGTAGCCGTGAGCTTCCTGGGGGTTCCCTGACAATAGCTGCAGGGCCCAAGCAGCCTGTGGGTTTTGTGGGATGGAGGTGGACCCTCCCGTGGCCCAGCCTTCCACAGTTAGGGGCCGGTGCTTCAATCACCCCTGTGTGGTAAGACAGTGAAGACAATTTAGAATATGAAAGATTATAATCTTTATTTAGAACTTACTTGGAACCTAAGATTTTAGCATTTCTCACAGACGTTGCCTGTGCTTTTGACATTTTTAAAATTTTTCATCTAGTAACTAAATTAAATTTCAGCACTGTACGCATCGGTCACACTGGGATGCAGATTCAGCACATTATTGAAAACATCATTACCGTCACAAAAACTCTTTCAGAGAAACTGCCAGAGGTAAGGTCTGACAAGTGCACCCATTGATCCTTCAAAAGAAGCACATTGCACACAGGTGACGTTCTCCTCTCTGTTCCAGAAGTGGGAGAGCGTGAAGCTTCTCTTTGTGAAGACTGAGAGGTCTGTTTCCCTTCCCATCTTCTCCTCTTTTGTCAGCTGTCAGAATGAGAACGACAGAGTGTCCTTCCGTAAACTGAAGGAAGAAAAGGAAGCGAAGCAAAAAGAGAAAGAGAGAAAACTCCGTGAAAAACAGAAGTTGAAGAAGAAGAAAAACAAGAAGTTAAGGCAACGGGCTAGGRAGGCTGCAGCCCTAAGTAAAGGTGACTCCGCGGCACCTAAAACGGGGGTTCCAGCGAAGAGCCCTGGATCCCAGAAGATAAAGACCAAACGGGTAAAGCCCCAGTTAAAAGCAGCAGATACGTCTGATGAGGAAATTCCACAGCTGGTACCCATAGGCAGCTCTCTGGCTAAAGAAAATGTTAAGGTATTTTTATTGACATTTATTCACAGTGAAATGTTTTATGACTACTATGTCAATGACAGAAGATGAAAATTACCAGAGTAAGCCTCCAGAACCATGATTATAATCTGTAAGAGTAAGAAACATTTCCTATGGATTTAAAAGGCAGACAAGGGTATTTATTTCTGTTCCTGAAAGTAGGTCTTGTCTCAACACATAATTAATCTCAGGAAACTTCCTAGAGCAAGTGCAAGTGCTAGATCCTGCCGTTAAAACCGCTCGCCTTGACTCCTCGCCCTGTGCCTGCAGTGGCTCATTGTAGGAATCTGGCTTCGTGGGGTTTTGCAGATGCCTTCAAGTAATGGGTTACCTTTTGGTTCTTTTATATATATATGTTTTAGTTGTAGGTGGACACAGTGTTTTATTTATCTATTGTGTGATGCTAACGATCAACCCAGGGCCTCCTACGTGCTAGGCAAGTCAATGTTCTACCACTGAACCATAACCCCACTCCCACCTTTTGGATCCTTGATAATCTTTCTACTCATACGTTATCTTGTCCAGTTATTGGGGAACTCTTAAAAATAAAGGGGGGTGGTAATAGGTCCCCAGGAGACTAGAACATTGCCCTTGTGGGTTCATAGAAGACAGTGCTCCTCTCAGCTGAGCCTCTACCTGCTGTGGCACATGGTCCCCAGGTGGGAGCGGTGGTTCCTTTAAGTGTTTTGAGGTTTTCTGTTTTCGAACAGGGTTTTGAACCCAGGGGCACTTAACCACTGAGCCACATCCCCAGCCCTTTTTATTTTTTTATTTTGAGACAGTGCCACACTAAGTTTCTGAGGCTGACTTTGAATTTGCCCCCCTGCCTCAGCCTCCCAAGCCACTGGGATTACAAGTGTTTGCCGCCATGTCCAGCTTGAGTTTTTAATATATAAGTGATCGTGGTAGTGCTCATAAACTCTGAGTGTTTTTAGAAAAAGCTGTTCTGTGACAAGGGGACTGCCAGGTGATGTGTTAGGACTTAGTGGGAGCACAGCCAGCCGGCCGCAGTGACAGGCCCCTGGGAACCACTCTGGGAGGTGTGATCATGGCAGTAGTGCTCACCGCTTCTGCCCACTGAGGAGCAGACAGGGTGCGTCCGTGTCCTGGCAGCAGCGTCCCACCTTTACTAGGAGTCACTTTTGATACTAGGGGTGGTTATAACCGATTAGGATTCTTGGGGAGTTTTATTTTTTGTGTTCAAATTTTCCATAATAATAAAACGTACACTCTGTGTTTACATAAAAACAAAGCAGCCCACTTCTTAGTTGGCCACACAGCCCATGGCTAGGTCCCACCAGCAGCCATCTGGGCTGCTGGGGAAACCTAGGATCCCTGGCATGTGGCACCCCACCCCCCCATGAGCCTCAAAACCTGGCTCTGGGTGTGGTTGCTAGTCGTCTCCTGGCAGGGTTCTCTGCACCTGCTCTGAAAGCCCTCCCCACCTCCTGAAGAGAACTCACTGTGCCTGTGCGCTGGAGCAGAGCCAGCAGGGCTCACTCTCCCCTACTGTCCCCCCAAGACCTGTTTCCATGGTTCTCCCTCATTGGACCCGGGAGACCTCTGAGTTCCTTTCACAGTCTGCTGTGGCCCGTGACTGTCTCACAATGTCGGCAAAGCAGTAGAAAGGGCCGGTTCTCGGTCTCCGTGCTGAGATCGCCTTAGAAGTTCACTCAAAAGCAGTAACCCCTGGGCTGGGGATGTGGCTCCAGCGGTAGCGCGCTCGCCTGGCATRYGTGCGGCCCGGGTTCGATCCTCAGCACCACATACCAACAAAGATGTTGTGTCCGCCGAGAACTAAGGAAAAAAAATAAATATTAAAATTCTCTCTCCGTCTCCCTCTCTCTCCTTCTCTCTTTAAAAAAAATAAAGTGTTAAAAAAAGAAAAGAAGTCACTCCTCTCCAAAGTGATGGAGTGCTTTAAAAAAAGCAGTAACCCGGGAACAGATGCCAGGGTTGTTTGTTCCAGATTTAACTCTCTTCTTTTTGGATGCAAAAACAGGCCACAGGAAAGAAGTCTCCCAACAAAAGTCTTGGTCCCAGCACCCCTCGTGCCAAGAAGAGAAAGGCCCCGCCAGCTACAGAGACCCCAGAATCTGCAGAGCCCGAGACCCCAGGTAAAGGCCCAACAAAGCAGCCAAAAGTGGAACAGAAGAAAACAGAAAGAAGCTCTGCACTGGGGAAAAAAGACCTGAGACAGACTCCAAAGAAGCCAGAGGCCAAGCTCTTCACTACTCCCAGCAAATCTGCAAGAAAATCTCCCAAAACCCCCAAACAGTGGCTGAAGAAGGCCAAAGTAGCCCAGTCCACCCCAAATCAGTGACTCACCCAGCCGGAGCGGCGGTCACCCCAAGAGCTTTTCAAAAATACTTGGGCCCTGGGCTGGGTGGAGTACTAGACACACATGGCCCTGCGTGCCCTCCCTCGCACCACAAAGAACCAATTAAAAACTCAGTCCTGACACCCCCACCCCCCCTGCAACCTTCTCCAAAGGGGTGGCCTGTACCTGAATATCCCAGAAACCTGCCCTGGGGATCCTGACAAGGACCTGGTTCTAAGAGCCAGTGCTTTGAAGTGAAATCTGTTTTTTAATTTTGCCCTGTGTATTTGCTAATGTAATAGAGGGAAAGTAGAGTGCTTCTCCCTGGTCGTGTTGGATTATTAAAATATGATGTTAATTACAGTTTTGTGGTTTTATTATTAAAATGTAATGTTGGCAGCATCCAGTTTGACTCAGGCCTATGGTGCGACCTGTTCCTCCTCAGTGGAGTAGTGCACGGGTGAGGTCGAAGCTCCTGTGACCAGTCATTTCACCTCTGAACTTGGTTCGCACATGAGCTTTTGGGAGATGACACTAAACCATGGCAGATGGTGTGGCTCCTGTTGGGTCTTGATGGTGGTCAGTGAGGCGCGTAGGAGGTGAGGGAAATGAACGCAGACACGTTAACATGGAGAGGCCCCGGGTTGCATCCTGCCTACTGGAGGAACTTGTACCATCCATAAGCTTCCTGTTTTCCACTCGAGTGTGACAGTGCCAAGACCCTGGAGGCTGGGCCGCGTGTGAAGTCTGCTGAGTTGTCAGATAACTCTGAGGTGGTAGATGACTTCTTGAGCGCTCAGCCTTTCCCCGGCACATCCCAAGCAGTAAGTGGTGGACTTAGGGTAGTATGAGGTGTCTTCAAAGATGACGTGGTTCAGAGGTGAGGAGTGAAAGTCTCACTTGTATTTTTGGTAGCATAAATAACATTGTAGGACTGGGGTTGGTTGTGGCTCAGCAGGAAAGTGTTCGCCTAGCGCCTCAGCACCACATAGAAACAAATAGATGTTTTGGGGTTTTTTTTTAAGAGAATTTTTTTAATATTTATTTTTTAGTTCTTGGCGGACACAACATCCTTGTTGGTATGTGGTGCTGAGGATGGAACCCGGGCGGCACGCATGCCAGGCGAGCGTGCTACTGCTTGAGCCACATCCCCAGCCCTGTATTTTTTAAAATAAATAATGTGATACTTTTTTACAAAATGTCTAAAATGCAAAACAGTGATTCCCACAATCCTTTCAGTCCATTCCGTGGACTGTGGAGGATGGGCTTTTGTCTGTCCTCCAAAGAAAGGTTCTCAGGGAACCAGGTCTCAAAGCCCCGCTGCTCTGCGGGAGGGACACCACACACCTAGTCATGGTGATCCCCATGTGACTCAATCTTCAGGGATCTCCATATGGTTTTCAATGCCAGGTGACTCCTGGGCCTGCAACTTTGTTTTGTTGAATATGATGAGGCCGTTTGCTCATGCATCTAGTATGTATGTGATATTTTCCCTAAGTATTTTAAATTCCATTTTTTTTTTAATCAGGGGTTGAATTTTAGTGGTGCTTAACCATTGAGCCACATTGCTAGTCCTTTATTTTTCATTTTAGGACAGGTTCTTACTATGTTGCTAAAGTCCTTGCTAAATTGCTGACTTTGGCCTCAAACTTGCCATCCTCCTGCCTCAGCCTCCCAAATTGCTGGGATGACGGGCATGTACAACCATGCCCCACTAGATTTAAAATACTTGACAAAAACACCTGTATTTTGACAAGGGAATGCCACAGTTATGGAATTGTTGATAATCTGAATTATAATGAAAAAAAATATGTCCAAATACTAGCTATTAGGTTTCCCAGGCTGGAGAAGTAGAGGGGACTCTTCCAGCTGGCCAGTGGAGTGGTCTACCCAGGAGCCCAGAGGAGAATAAAACTGTGTGCTGCAGTAACTCACTCTGCTGTGGGGTCAGTGAGGCCAGTGTTGCAGGTTTCCGGAATCCATCCTTCCTATGAAAGTTGTAAAGAGAGTAGGATTTTGGCTGGGTACATGGCTTGGCTGGTAGAGCTCTTGCCTAGCATGTACCTGGGTTCCCAGCAACACACGCGCGCCCACACACAAAGAATTTAATTGTGTGTGTGTGTGTGTGTGTGTGTGTGTGTGTGTGGTTTGTTGTTGTTGTGGTTTGTTTTCAATTTTAAAAATATATGTTTTTAGTTGTAGATGGACACAATACCTTTATTTTGTTTATTTAGCTTTATGTGGTGCTGGGGATTGAACCCAGGCCCTCACACATGGTAATGTAATGGTAATGGTAAGTGCTCTACCATTGAGCCCCAGAATTTAGTTTGTTTAGAAACTGTAGTAAGCATAAAAACTTAGAGCCTTAGGTATATTTAAGGTGGTCTAAATGTTTCATAAAGATCACACTGAATTTTGGTGACTGTGAGAAATAAAATGAAGATGCAAAGAATTTGTCAAATGTGATGCTCTCTAATCGCACAACCCGGACTCCCACAGGTATTTAAGGGTTTAACTCCCAAAGGGGTCTTGCCATTCAATTCAGCACTCGAAAGTTCTGCACTTCCTACGTATTTTTTCCTTAAAATTGATAACCACTCTCCCTGCCTACAGCTAGTGTTAATACTCAAACAAGACCCTTATTAGAACTTTATGAATCATGAGAAGATGGTCAGTGCCTGGATGCTAAAGGAATCAGTGCATGTGATTAAAGACCATAAATAAAACTTGAGTTATCGTAGTGATCATTTTAATCTAATGGTCTGGACAGGGAGAGAAAGTGGCAAATTACTTAAGCGGTTAATTTTAACCTCAGATTGAAACATTTCGGCTCAGCATTTAAAATGGTTAGCATTGGGGAGGGGCTGTAGCTCAGCGGCAGAGCACTTTGCCTAACCTGTATGAGACACTGGGTTTCATCCTCAGCACCACATAAAAATAAGCAAATAAAGGCATTCTGCCACCTACAACACTGTGTGTGTGTGTGTGTGTGTGTAATTTTTTTTTTTTTTTGTATTGGGGATTGAACTGGAGCGCTTGACCACTGAGCCACACCCTCAGCCCTGTTTTATATTTTATTTAAAGATAGGGTCTCACTAAGTTGCTCAGGGCCTTGCTAAATTGATGAGGCTTTTAGTTCGCCATCCTCCTGCCTCAGCCTCCAGAGCTGCTGGGATCACAGGTGTGTGCTACTCTGCCCAGTCTCCAAGGTTTCTTAAATGAAATTATTTGGCAGTGAACAAATGCCAGCCTTCCTTAACCTCACCCCTCTAAATGTTTTCTTGGAGAACGCAGGGCTGGGGATGAGGCTCGGGGTAGAGGCTTGCCTGGCAGGCATGAGGCCCAGGGCTCTGTGAAGAACACAGAAAATGTGAAGAAAACCTTGTTGGCAGCAGGTGGTGCCTCTGAAGACGCAGGCTCCTGGGCTGGTTGCAGATCTACTTGAAACGACACGTGGGTCCTAGAATCGGGGGTTTAACCAGAAGCCAGGTAAGTCTGGTGCTCAGGGAGGGCCACAGCTGGGCTGAAGCTGCCTCAGCTGACAAGGGACATCTTACCAAGTCCTCATCGGGTGAGCCCAAGTTCAGAGTCCCAAAGTGAGAGGATCCCTCGTTCCCTCTGTGGGCTACTTTTAATATTTTTTATAGAGGACATGGGAATGAACTCCTGTGTGTATTTACCCCCAATCTCTCCTTGTAAGGAGAGTTATTCTGTGGGATGGATTCAGAAAAACCACCTGATGTGTGAAAACCCCTCTAGAGAATCCCTGCTACTTCAATCACCCAATCAGGAGCCCGGTTCATATAAATGAAACAGCCCTGTTGGTCTTTCTGTCTCAGGACGTTTGTCTTGAAGTGCGTCCGTCTGTTTCGAGGGAAAACTCTTTCTGACATTTGCTTATTTACTAAAAAGCTACCTGTTGTACCAGGTGAGAGAAACGGTGATCATTTCTTTTATGAAATTAGTAGTTTGCTGACTGAGGGGCTGAGGCAGAAAAATGGCAAGTTTGAGGCCAGCTTTGGCAACTTAGCAAGGTGCTGAGCCACTTAGAGAGAACTGTCTCAAAAAAAAAAATAGTAGTTTTTGCTAAATATTCTTGAAAAATGCTCAAAATGCTTTTAAAGATATTGTTAGTTGAGCTCTGTATCTTTTTATACCTATTAACAATTTGCATTTCTTCGGGGATAGAACTCTGTGATTGGTTTTTTTTCTTCTTAATTGGCTAAAGTTATTTGTATTTAAGGGATTCTAACACTTTGGGGTTTGGGGGGTTTTGGTGTGGTTTTTTTTTTTTTTTTTTTTTTAGTACTGGGGATTGAACCCAGGACCTTGTGCTTGCAAGGCAAGCACTCTATCAACTGAGCCATATCCCCAGCCCAGTTTGGTGTTTTTTAATTTTGTCTTGAGGTGCTGGTGATTGAACCCAGGCAAATGCTCTACCACAAAGCTAAATCTCTACCCCTAATCATCAGTCTTTTGTTCCTAAGTATCTAAAATTTTGCATTGAAATCTGTGCCACTTAGCATGTAATCTGACAGTTAAAATTTTAGTATATAATTGCAAAGATAACTTGCAACTATATAGTGATCTTTGAAAATAAAACTATAATGCCAGGTGTGTTGGGGCACACTCATAATCCCAGTGATTTGGGAGGCTGAGGCAGGAGGATTTAGCAACTTAGTGAGACACTGTCTCAAAATAAAATATAAAAAGGGCTGGGGGGGGGGCTAGGGTTGTGGCTCAGAGGTAGAGCACTAGCCTAGCACGCCTGAGGCACTGGGTTTGATTCTCAGCACCACATGAAAATAAAGATATTGTGTCCACCTATAACTTAAAAATAAATATTAAAAACAAAGGCTGGGGGCTGGAGGGCTGGCCTGTAGCTCAGCACTTGCCTGGCATATGTGAGGCACTGGGTTCAATCCTTAGCACTATGTAAAAATTTTAAAAAAGCATTCTGTCCATCTATAAGTACAAAAATCAAAAACAAAAGCCAAACCAGACAAACTTTTCACACTTTTCTCCTGGAACTTTTTTCCCTTGCCACTTCCCCCTGGATTTTACATTAACATAACATTTTGTTTAACTTTCTAATTGATGAGCTTATCATATCACTGTCATGAAAATACATATCATTTTGAAATTTGATGCCTGTGGCTAAGGTTCCAAGTATCAACTTTGACCCATGATGTGTTTATAATTATTAGCCTCCAATTGACCAAATGGAGTATATTTGTATATTTTGATGAAATCAGCCATTTTTTATCTACAGCTAAAAGAAGCACCAGGGATTTTTTCCCTGGTGCCAGTTTCCACCAATGATGTTCACTTCCTGTGAGACTGAACAGGATTCG